TCCTGCCAAACTCTATTGCACCATTTTTGTTTAATCCTTAGGGATTGCAAGGGGGCATATGCATTAGGATATGCATGAAAAAATACAGTCAAACTTGTGTTGCTGCAGGCCAGCTTCACCTACATTGCAAACAGGAAGACAGGCCACACTTACTTTTGATCAAACAAGAGCTATTTCCAATTCCTGGAAATGTTGATGTCTCCATTTTAATGTCAGTGAATGCCTTTTCTTTCTTTCTTACAGCAAATAGCATTCAAAAACTTGGTACAAAGAAATCAGCAAAATGAACAGCAAAATCAAGGCCCTCCAGCTTTGAACTCGACAATACAGCTGCCTTTCTTAATAGTCAACACTAGCAAAAGAACTGTTATAGACTGCAGCATATCAAGTGATAAGTGAGTGTGTTGTGTAATCAATCTTTTAAATATTATTTTGAACAAGCAAATTTATTAGTTTACTAAAATTAATTGTGCATTTTAAGTTTTTCCTTTTTTTTTTGGCCTTTAATGTCACTTCTTTCCATTTTTTAATATATGTAAAAACTGGTGTGTGTTTTTATATACAAATGCAACTATATAACGACTAGTCAAGACAGGTTGCATTTTATTCCTGCAAAAGGCATCTCAGAATGACATTTCAAGGAGCCTTCACGGCACTGAAGGCAGCAAATAGCATAAAGTCATATATATACACTGTATGTCTGTATACACACAGGGACAGCACTAGCTTTTCATAAAGTCACACACCGGTGCTTCTGAATTCTTACTTCTATAATAGCATAAATCTATTTAGTCAGAAATATATGGTGTAACAAAAAAAAAAAAAAAAAGCTTTGTAGAGGTAATAATAGCAATTTTGACAGAAATGGTTGACATCTTTCAATAGCAAAAGGTTTATACCTCGCTGTTTGAAGGGAAAAAAAAAATGATGCAGAAGTTTGAAACATTTCCAGTGTAAGCGTATATGTTGTTGCTGTAGTTCATTCCTTTCTGTTAATCTGAAAATTTTCCACTTAGGTATTTCTGGGTGCCTATATGCTCTATTCTGTGAAAGGAGGACTGAAAGTATGGGGTGTTATTATGTTAACTGTTAACTTGTGTTAACTGTTTGATCAGTTTCTGACCAGCTTATTAAGTGAAAATAACTTTGTTTCGGGTATTAAAAGCTACAGATTTTCTTCTGTACTATGCAAATCCTCTACTGAACTCCAAAATAAATCTAGATAGCAAAAATAGACAGACAGTCCTTAATTACCTAAACACCAACATGCAAAAAGCAATACCCAGTAGAAGCAGAATTGTTGCAGAATACATAATTGAAGTATATTCTATATACTTCAATTGAAGTAATTGAAGTATATTCTGGGACCAAACTTCTGGAATAATCCCACCAGCACTCTAACTCAACAGGTTAGGAATTTAAATAGCAGTATTGATTTACCTTAACTATATACTTACTCTATAGATACGTTACACAGGTCTCACTGTGCTTGTTTAAAATGCTGGTCTATATATAGGTATTCTGAGTCAACAAGATAACAACATAATGAAGCTTCAGAACAGCCACTTTGAATGTGTCAGCGATGCAGCTAAAACTTTGGCTATGTAGAGAGGTACACCACATGTATCTACAGTCACAATCTGTAAGAAAACACTACTACTAAAAATGAACACACTGAAATAATTTAATTTTTTGATATTTCAGTTTCATTATTAATAACTGGGTTTCAGTATTAACATCATCCTAAGATCATGAAGTGTGCAAGCCGAATTAAAAATGCTTTCTAGTGTGAAACTGTGTTTGTGCAGCTGATCAGCGGCACCAGCAGTGTGTAGATGAACGGTGCCAGAAACCGCTAATATTTAAACAACTATTATATTAATTTGCTGAATAAAGTGGTTGTCAAAGTCATTACCAGCTTGGAGAATTTTAGTGCTCCTATTTCTTAGAGAATATGCCAAACTCTTCTGTTCCACCCAATAGCACTACTGGCAAAAATCAGTTGTTTTCCTTTCCTTCTCCCATACAACATTTATATAAATATTGGTTGTTCTGTATTGAGGAAGCACCAGTAGCAAACAGATGGCCCAGTAAAATCCCAACATCAGTCAGTCAAAATTATACTTACAGAGGATCTCCCAGCAAAAATCACTGCTTGGGAAGATGTTATACATACGGAAACTTAGACCTAAGTCTAGCCAAACCAGAATTATGTTTCTGGCATGTGAGATGAAGAGTTTATTGGACAATTTTTACTTAGCATTTGAAAAGGCAGACAGGTGCCAGATATCACACTGGGAGTGACATTTCTGAAGTGGGAGTAAACAATAATAGACAGACTTCAGCTAAAAAGGATAAAATTGAGAAGTCAGGCTGAAAAGAGGGAAGCGAGAATACTTGGTTTTGAAGTAGGTAAGATCAGAAAGGAAAAAACATAAACGTAAAGGGTGGTAAAAACATATGCATTGGGGGACTCTGAATTAAAAAAAAAAAAAAGTGCAGAGCAGGACCTTAAAAGGCAGCTGACAACTTTCCAAAAGTTAAGGTATATCCAAATAGGGAAACAAATTGCAAGTAGCAAGCAGTAACATAATTTAAGCAGATGAAGCACTTACTTAAACAAAAAGTACAGAAACAGGAAGCTTATAAGAAGCTATATACTATATATATTATACTATATGTGGTCCTGACTGGGAAAAAGGTATAGCAGAATTGGGAGAGAGAAAGACACAGGAGGGCAGCAAAAAAATGACTGAACTATGGAAAAGCTTCCATAGAAGGAACAGATGGACTCTCTGGCCTGGACAGAGAGGACAGTGGATTCATGGAGGTCCAAGCAATCTATACATAGAACAGCATTCAAAGTTGCTACATAAAAGTAGGAGACATTATCAGGTGGCAGATTTCATAGAAAAAGAATGAAAATTCTTTTTTTGTGACAGTTTAACTATACAAATCATAGCCTTTAATGTTATTCCCCAAAATTACAGAGGTTCAAAAGGTGGTCATGTAAACTCACTAAAAGAATATCCTTAAATAGCTTTAAACGACAAAGGTAGAAGTAGTATAGAGACTTCCCAGGTCAGAGGTTGCAAGTTGCTAAAAACTATATGGGAGAGATATTACCCTAAGTTTCTCATGTTCTTACACCACCTGCTTAATAATATTTGGTCACAGCTAGAGAGAGGAACTCCAAACTATGCTTTGAGGAAATGGCCTCAAGTTGCACTGTGGAGGCTCAGGTCAGACATCAGGAAGAAATGCTACACGGAAAGAGCAGTCAAGCATTGGAACAGGCTGCCCAGGGAAGTGGTGGAGTCTCCGTCACGGGAAGTGTTCAAAAAAAAATGTAGATGAGGCGCTTAGGGACATGGTTTAGCAGGTAGGGTGTTGAAGGGCTTACGGTTGGACTCGATGACCTTAAAGGTCTATTCCAACCATAATGATCCTGTGATAGTGACACTTACTTCCCTTTTCATGTGGCTAAGCTTAATTAAATATAGCTTCTATGAGCAATGTAGGCTATAGAAGTATCACAGAACAGCTGCAAAACAAGCAATGCCTGTAACTGACAGTTATACCTAGTACAAAACATGTACTAGGGGTAGTACATGCTATGCGTAGTGCACAGTAGATGGAATTTTTGTTCACAGACATAGAGCAATATGTAACTTTGCCAAATTTAGTTGCATCAGATGTCAAAAATGTTATTAAAAATAATAATAATACAACATAGTAGCTTGGGGAGGCCATGGAAATCACACCAGTAAGTTATCTTCCAAAGATAGGATTGCTTTTTCACAGTTAGGGATTTGTCAGCAGAAAAAATAAGCGATTGGGAAATAATTCAGAAATAAGTCTATTTTAATCCTTGGACCGGTAGTAAGGGAATTTAACAGCCTGTGATTATAGTATAAGGCATGTCAAGATGCCCCATCTGATGCTAAAGTACCCTTAAGTTTTTATTACTATTTCTATTGCTACATGCAGTGAAAAACATTTTGAGAGGCCTGCAGCAGAAATGTAGGTTTTGAACATAACAGGCCTTGGAACGCATATCTTTATTAGCTGTTTGCTTATTTGGAAAAAAAAGAAATATGTTCACAAAGCAAAGTTATACCAAGGTAAATAGGTCAGTTCACAGGAGGAATGTTGCAGATTAGAACAAGAAGTGAAATGTAAAAGAAGCAAAAACAAAACTCTTATTTTGGTGACAGGGCTGCAGGTGACCTTTAGATGGGATTTGGTACAAGTGAAGGTTAATGTTTCAGTAAGACTTTTTTCTTTCCCTTTGAATCTGTTTAATGAGGGAGAAAAGTTCAGACTATTTTCCTGAAATGGAAAAGTTGATTTAGTTGAGAAAGTATTACTTTAGACCCTGGAGAAGTGCTAGGAAAAAAAATGCTGAACAACTTTTTAAGACCAGACACCTACCTTAACCTCTATTTAAAAAAAAAAAAAAAAAAAAAAAAAGGAAAGCTCTGTTTTTTTCAAAACAAACTCATTTTTACTTTTTATACACAGATTTGAGTACCTCTTTAATTTCGATAACACTTTTGAGATTCACGATGACAGTGAGGTGCTGAAGAGAATGGGAATGTCCTTTGGGCTTGAGGCAGGCACATGTTCTGCTGAGGACCTAAGAACTGCAAAATCATTGGTGCCAAAAGCTTTAGAAGGCTACATTACAGGTAAGCTAGCAGACACTTACTTAAATATTGTTCCTGAGGAAATTCATAACATTAACTAAAAGAAGCAAATTTAATGATGCTCACCTTCATAGATAGATGGTATTTGAAGAAGTTTTTAATGAAAGCCTATGCATAGAGCAATTGTTTTACAGATTGTTTTGGAAGGCTTATCATAGCTTTCATCTAAAGTTAGAAGCCTGTTACTAAATGATTTTAAGAGCTACATTATGAAGAACTTATTTAAGTAAAAAGATAACACAATTTTTCTTCAGGTATTATTTTTTGAACAACTTTGTGTGAACAAACTGGAAGAAAAGAGCTCTTAACCTCTTCTTTGTGTTAAGGAGGGAAGGGGAAAAAAAAGAGCAGCTTGAGCTGTGGGTACAGTGCACGCATGGCGCAGCTGCATGAGCATCGGGCTTGAGCGAGGGGAGCACTGCTAAGAGCACAGCTGCACGAACAGCCCATGCAGCCCTGCCAGAGAATTCTCAAAATGCACAGGTTGTACCTTCTGCTGCGCTGTGAAACGGGCCTATCCGGATAGGAAGCATGAACAGCAGGTGCTGTTTGAGAGCTGAGCTTCTGTAAATTTGGCAGGAGGATCCAGAGTTCCAGGGAAGGTGTCACACGCAGAGGTTTTCATCTCCCCTAGTTGCACTGTTTGAACTAACTGCTCTCAGGTCACACTTCAATAGACTCAAACCTAAGTATGTTTCAGTGTTGCATCATTAGAGTAGAGCTGCCTAAATATTGCATCATTTCCTTTAATCAAAACGTGTTTATGTTTTCTGGGTCTCTTTATCCTTTAAGCTTTAAAAATAAGATTTTGTCTTTTCATTTCAGTCAATTTTGAAATTCCAGACGAAGCCTGTATGTGGCTGCACTGGTGTCGAAGGGGAGTTTTATCATTTTTCTTTGTTTCTTGCAAGTCTACCCAACTGAAAACTACTTATGGCATGATTCACCATCAATGCAGAAAAGGCAGTAGGAGCAGAACTCCCGTTGGTTATGCCGTAGTCTTAGAATAACTTAATTGCCCTATCATACTGAAAATCAAATTTTTTTTTTAATTTAATTTTAGTGCTGGAATAAGTTATCTTCAGAGAATAGAGTCCCTTTAAACTTAAAGAAAATACTCTGTAATTAAACAAAACTCTTCATGTCTAAACTCAGTTCGTTGAGTTTGTTTTAATAAACTCTATCATACCAGTGTACTTCTGGAATATGTTTTATTGAAAGCATTAAGAGCAAACAATTAAGATGTTCCTGTGGAAGTGAGGAACAAGCAGTACTCTCTTTCAAAGAAATTTAATGGAAAAAACAGTTTCCAAGTTTAAACACTCTTAAAGAATGCTGTGATTAGGGCAATTCTCCTAATAGCAGATCAGCAACCTGAATCCTATGTAGAATTCTAATCAGCAGAAATGAATTGATTTGCCTTTTCATTTGAAATGCTTTGAGGCAGTAATATACTCTTACATGAATATATATGACTATATATGAATATACTCAGTAGCAGTTTCAATCTCTGAAAAATACTAGTCTGAAAGTAATGTTACTAGTGTATGTACAAGCAGTTCAAAGGTTTCTTTTATCTGTTGCTTGTAACAATTAACAAAGCACAAATTTACAGTTGAGCATCTGAGTTGCACAGCAAAGCCTTTTAATGGCAGTAACTGACAAGTAAGAGAAGAGGACTGAAATATTTTGCACAATACTTGAAAATGTAACATTTATTTGATGACATGTCCTCAGTTAAGTGTAACATCCTATTTTGACCTTGGCAGCATTTAAGCTTTGTTTCTTACCTGCAAGACCAATGAAGTGTACTGCTAGTCACTGCTTCCATACCTCATGGCTTGTTTCTGTAGCTTTCGGGATGGCACTTAAACTAAGGAGGCTTCTGTTAACTACAAAAAAAGCAAATCTTTGTCTCATTTATTCACTGGTTAAATCTATTACAGACAGTAAAGATTAGAGTTTTCCCACACTAGCTGACTAAGAACTTAACTGTTGTGTAAAGCATCCCCATTCTAATACGTGTGTCGAAGCAGGTAAAGTACTTGAAATGAACTAATTGCTAAACTTACCACTGGCAGAGAATACTTTTAAGTCATTTCCTGTCTTATTATAGTGTTATTAATACTGTCTTACTAGATTTTTTTACATGACATTCTACTCAATGGGGGTTTTACTGTATATTTTCTTAAACCACTTTATTTAGTTAAGTAATGTTAGGTACAACATTGATATGCTCCTCCAACATGATCCTCAGGTGTCTGATTCCCATGAAATCAGCAGAAATTGAGGCACCCTAATGACATTAAGATATGCGGAATATTTTGCTTTAACTGTGCAAAAGAGGCTTCTGGGTGCAAGAGTAGAGCATACAGCATAATTTACAGCAAAAATTAACATTAAAGTCTTGCTTCAGCTAAGCAAACCAGAGAAAGTGACAAAGCAATACCAACCACAGTACTTGCCAGGTTCTTAATGGGAAAAGAGCAATGTGGTTTCTAAGGCTACCGTGTCACCAGTTTAATTTGGCATCCTGAGGTCCCAGTCCTAATTATACACATTCGTGCCCATTCTTTTACCTTTAATATCATTACTTTTATCTGAACCCTTCATGAGCTGGTTCATCTGCATAAAAATGATAAAAATCTGATGATAAATATCTGCAGGATTTTTATTTGGCGGTAGTTTCTGGGTAGTTTCTGATAATTTAGCCTGCAGAATTAGCTATTCAAGGGATCAAGCCAGCACAATACAAGTAGAAAAGAGGAAGTGAGACTGCCCTATTTCTGCTCATACAGCACTGATTTAGCTAAGCATGAACCTTTTTAGAATTGTATCTAACATACTGTCCCTGTGGAAGACTTCTATTTTGACAGTGCCTTCCAGACAGGGAATGGCTTCTTAAATTCCCATTTTTTACAAACTCCCTCTTTTCCTTGGCTTCTCACAGCCTAACTGGTAAACTGAATTTACGAGTACCCGCCATCAAAGTACAAAGCATTGATAGGTATCCACAAAACTTCCTGCTGCTTCATAAATAAAATTCATACTTTTCTCCATCCTGCTTTTCAAAAAGAAAAACTAAGCATTAGCCCATCTCTTAAAAAAAAACTCAAGCTAACTCAAAGTGACTTATTTTTCTGGCATGCAAAGCATGTGCGCACAGGTACGCCCTTTCTGAAGGCTAGGAGGCAACACTGGGATACATCTCTAATCCTTTTTATTAACCTAAATACAATGCTGTCATTCCAAATGGTTCAGAGCAGTGTGCAAACACAGGAGGAACCTGTCAAAACATGTTCTCTGTAAATCCAAAACAGCATTTAAGACAGTCTTAATGAAAGGCAACCAACTGTGTCCATACTCAAATATTTTCATCTACTTGCTCCTGCTTTGTTACCAGTTTCTGTACTGTCCCAATCAGCAAGGCTGACAGGCCTGCAGAAGGTATCATATATATATGTGTGTGTGTGTGTGTGTGTGTATATTTTATATATATATATATATATATATAAATAAAATTCTCCCCAGCACATAATTCTCCCTGGCACAAAAGGAGGTAGTTGATGGCATCCCATGGACTGTGAGCCAATTTATGTGGCTGGGGGAGAACTTGTGACAACCTACTTAAAACAATCTCTGCCTTAGGCAGTTTGCTCCAGCAACTCCAGAACACTAAAACATGGTAAGAACACACAGAGACAAATGAGAAAATGTAACAAGTGCATTTAGCTATTCTTCACAGCTGCTCTTATGAAGCAGTTCTAGATGAACTATGAGTAGTGTGCAATCCCATCCCACTGCCATGAGGCTACACCAAACAG